TCCAAGGTTATATACCTGACCTTCAAAGTATTTTCTCATGGACGTATTAAACATTTAATTGGAAATACAATCAATACATCAAATAAGGTTCTCTTTGAAACGGTGGTGAAAATGGGGGACAGAGAAATTGAAAGTGTCTGTTTCACTGGCATCTCCTTCTGTTACTACCCAGAAGTCCTTTGTTCACTACACAAGTGTGTGTGTGTGTGTGTGTGTGTGTGTGTGTGTGTGTGTGTGTGTGTCAGGTATAGAGGTTTAATCACAGTCTGGTTACTGCGGCGGAGAGAGAGAGACACACATCTGTTGCTGTTGTTTAATTTCTAAAATGAAATCTGTTTGAGGTTGATACATATGTTAATGCAAACACACTTCCAATAACTTTCTTAGAATTTGTCTCTGAGACGATAATGTGTGTGTGTGTGTGTGTGTGTGTGTGCATCAGTGAAGACTACAAGGAGACAACACACACACACACACACACACACACACACACACACACACACACACACACACACACACACACACACACACACACACACACACACACACACACACACACACACACACACACACACACACACACACAGATGGCTCCTCTCTGTTTTGTTCGGTCGACAGGAGACGGTTTGTTTCTTTCCGAGGAACAAAGTCTCATCGTCACATTTGAACCTCCTGATGATCCGCTGCCAGCTGTCAGAGACCTGGAATTAATCTCCACGCCCCGACAACTGCCGACGTGCCCATCAGCAAGGCTCTCAGTCTCCAGAATAACTCAGATATAACAGGAGGTACTTCAGGTGTCCCGGAAATGGTAGTACAAGTTTATACTTCTCATAAAACAAGGTGAGGTTTGAGCTCAGTAAGACCAGTTGGTAAACGCAATATTCAATTGTGTCAGAAAACTTTGATTATTCAATATATATATATAATGAAAGACAAGAGCTTGAGGATATACACAAACTAAAGAAAGGAAGTAATCTGCGACTGCAAAGGTGCATGTTTAGTAGTAAATCCTTTGAGATGTGTTAGTAATGGTAAAGTTGAAGCTTCACAGAAACGTTCACTGTGTTCGTTTTGTTATTCATTTATTTACTTTTTCATTCTTTTTTCTTGACAGTTATGACATTTGGTATCTATTACAGCTTTCATTTTGTATGTGCAGCTCTGGCTTCTCTGTGGGAACATTAGCTGAGGCTCATGGGTATTGTAGTTTTAAGAAGAGTAGTTAATGAATCCGTTAAATTCCATTTGAGATGTTTACATTTGAGTATTGTCTATTTCTACTCTTTGAATTTCTACTTATGTGCAATGCCTTGCTTGTTATGCTGCTGCAACACAAACATTTCCCAATTTGGGATCAATAAAGTAAATCTTATCTTACCTTACTAAATACAATTAAAATGGGAAGTTGGAGTCTAGTAGCAGGAGCATCTGTTACTTCGAAGTCATTTGTACCCGAAGTCTTAATCAGTATTTTGTGCTAAATGTATTTTGTTTTGCTGGAGATTTTAGACTTTGCAGACCATTGACATGCACCAAAAACTATATAACACACTGGAGGAGAGGGAAACCCCTAAAGGTCCTTACACACCAAACTGACACCAAAGAACACCAAAGAACACGTCCCAACGGAACGTCGCCTCACGTCGCCTCACGTCTCCTCACGTCTCCTCACGTCGCCTCACGTCGCCTCACGTCGCCTCACGCCGCCTCACGTCGCCTCACGTCGCCTCGCCTCACGTCGCCTCACGTCGCCTCACGTCGCCTCACGTCTCCTCACGTCGCCTCACGTCGCCTCACGTCGCCTCACGTCGCCTCACGTCACCTCACGTCTCTGCGTCTTGGCCATGTGTCGCACTGGAACACACCGCCAAGACTTCAGCCGACGGCCAAGAAGCACATACGAACTGCGCATGCGTGAGTGGCAATAACTCTCCTTACCAGCAGGCGGCGGTAGTGTGTATTCGTCATTCAAAAGAGGCAAAAACTGGAAGACAGACTGCGTGATAACCGAGAGAAGAAGAAGAACAGACTGCGTGATATAAACAAAGAACAAATAGCGTGCGTTCCATGTTCACTCTACAGCGAGAAGCTCACGGGGCTTTCCCCAACCTGTGTCGAGAGCTGGAGTTAAAGGAAATCTCAGATTTTCCTTCTTAATCGTTTGTTTGGGTCCCTCACTTCCGTTTCGCTTCTCATGCACTGATTCGCTAAGCTGAACAGCCAATCAGAGTGATTTCTTTAGCCGACAGCCTCCCGATTCAACATGTCGAATCGGCGGCGGAAGGTGTCGGCACGGCTGAAAAGACACGACGGGGCAGTACACACCAATCTGAGAAGGGCGACACGACGCTCATCGACGGCCCGACATCTATCGACAGCGAAAATCGGCTCGGTGTGTGAGGACCTTTAGAAGCATTTCAGGCCTCTTTAATGCTTCTTAGGTGTGCATTTTGACACAGACACTTGCAGCCTCTCGTCGTCCCTGAACTCTAAAAGTTAGTCTCAGGAGTCAGTGTCTCTCCAGTCTTTCTCCACAGAGCAGAGCCACTTCAAACCGAGTGGAAAGTGAACAGCTGTTTGTCTCTCATGCGACATCGAGCACACAGTCCATCTCTGCGTTTGCATTTCCTGATGAGCTTTCCTCCTGTGAAGACGACTTGAAGAGAGAACTTCCTCTACGAGGATACGAAGGTTACCTACTGGATCTGAGAGTGAATAATCATCTGGTGTCTGGAAGCAAACATCTAACAGAGGCAGCATTGTTAGCGCTGATGCTTTTCCAAATTAATTCCACATTAGCATCCGCACCATTGAGTCCTCAACTTGATCAAGATGTGACTTTCCTATTGAAATAAGTCGCTACTCTGCTCATCAATGCTGTTTTCCTTTTAACTTCTCAACTACCAGGTCAAATTCCTTATATTTAAAACATTAGAAGCAGATATGTACACTACAAAAACTCAAAATCTTTCCCAGTATCTGTGTCTAACATCTAGTCAGAACATGTCTCTCCTCCTGATATCAGACATAATAACTGCAGGAGTAACACTGCAGTGAGATATAGGCTCTTGTTTTTAGACAATGCATCATCTTGTTAAGTCAAAACATCTTATTTTGAGTTGTATCTCAGATGAAACACATATTTGTTTACATATTTATTAGAAAATCACCAACTAATATCAGAAGACAGAAAACCTTTGAGCATTTGCGGATCACACATCTCCTGATTCTGGTGAAATATAGTTCAAAATGAGTTCTCCTGCTAATTACTAGATGTGATTTATCTAAATATCCCGTCTTATTTCAAGAAAGCTACCAAGCTAATGTTCACTTGTTCTATTGGCAGATTTTTGGACTTATTTCAAGTGAAAACAGCTTGTTTTCAATATTGTTTAACTTGTTTTTGGAGCAGCATTTTTCCAGTGTAGGTCAAATTCCTTCTATTTAAAACATTAGAAGCAGATATGTAGAGAGTAGAATATGTTCCCATGTTAAAAAAAGACTTAATTGTGTTGCTTTTTGCAAAAACAATGAGAAAATTACGTTTTTTTGCTGGCAAGTGCATAGAGCCGATGGAAATCTAAACATCTACAGCCCCCATCACAACTGGCAAACTCTATTTACCAATGTAGACGATTATGATATGTTTCAAAACCCCAGAATAACACTACATGGTGGGATTATGTTCTCAACTAGAGATACCCATCTAAATAACCTGTATTTAATCCGGTGATCTGATCTATATATCCATGCTCTCCATCCTTTCCAGAACATTCCTCCTCACAGCTAAAGGCCACGGTGGCAGCAGCGCTTCTTAATTGAGACGACACTAATTATCATCTTCATGTTCCAGATTAGATCAGCGCTGATTAGCCTAAAATTAGACACACACACACCCACACACACACACACACACACACACACACACACACACACACACACACGATCCTGTCTCAACACAAATATCAGTGTTATCCAGCAGATACCATCTCTGTGTTTGGCATAAGTCTTTCGTTTCTGTTTTTTTCAAGTTATCTTAATCTGTACCACATCTGTTTTTACGTCCTGTGATTTCCCACCTTTTTTTTTGTGTCTGTCCTGGCAAAATATCACCTGTTTCCCACCATGCCTGACATCACCTGACCTCTTGTACACCTGCATCGCACCCTCCTATACGTTTCAGCTTGTATTTAAATCCTGATATTTTGTTGTGACTCGTCTCAAAGTGCGTACTTCTGTACTAAGACAAACTGTTTTAGTGCCTACGTGTGACTCAATGCGAAGTATGGCAAAAAATGCACCATTGGTACCCAGATGGTGCATTTAAAACCGTTCAAAAAGTGAGGAGTGCTGGACACTTCTTGCACTCAATGACCACCATCTTGTCTTCGTAACAGAAGTAATGCGACCAGGTGTGATTGTGGTCGCCCTGGTAAACACAACACTATACAAATAAAATATATACATGTGGATTTCTTCATTATTCCATACGTCTATACAGGTGTTGAAAAGAAGACACCGTTGTTATGTTATTGGGTAAACTGAGCAGTCCCCGTGAGGGCCCACAAGAAATGTGCGATTTCAGACACAACAACATGGTCAAAATGTGTGCACAGCATAAGTGTTAAGAGTGGACGATGTCTAATTTACGAAAAGGAAAGAATCTGGATTGAAACACAGCATTTGTTTTTCTGCTCGCCTCATCAGATCCTTGTTTGTTGATCAGTTGTCGTGATCAGCAAGTTAGGGATATTTCGTAAAGTTCACCTGTGACATGTTCAACTATTCAAATCTGTGTGTGTGTGTGTGTGTGTTTGTGTGTGTGTGTGTGTGTGTGTGTTCAAGTTATGTTATGCTTTTCGTTGACTTGAATACAATTGTTTTGCACATAACCTGTGACATTTTCAACTATTACAATCTCTCTCTGTGTGTGTAGAGATCTGTGTGTGTGTGTGTGTGTGTGTGTGTGTGTGTGTGTGTGTGTGTGTGTGTGTTACCTCCAGCTGTTTCCAGGTGTGTGTCAGGTTGTGTATGTTCTGACTGAAGTTCCCGGGCAGGTGTGTGCCGCTCCTCTTCAGAGACTCTCCTCGGCCCAGCAGGTTAGTCTTCCTGCTCTCCATCAACATGAGCTCAGCGTGGCTGCTCTGAAACACAGAGAGGACAGAGGGACGTCACACACATGTCACACACACAACCAACCAGAACACAGCAGAGGACAGAGGGACGTCACACACATGTCACACACACAACCAACCAGAACACAGCAGAGGACAGAGGGACGTCACACACACGCAGAGCTCGCGTTAACCGAATATTTTCCGTCTATGACGTATTCTTTTTTAACAATGACGGAAAAATCTGAAAGCAGTCCTGTCATTTTGACGGATTAGAACAAACTCGGAACAGCGCCAAAGTTTCCCCGCAGCGAGGCTCCGGTGTTATGCCGTGTTATGCCGTGTTATGCCGTGTTATGCCGTGTTATGCCGTGTTATGCATGCCCGCCAAAAAGGAAATGATACCGTTTCCAAACCTAACTTTGCCGTACAAATCATTGATATGTCTGTGAGTTTTGTCTTTACGCTGTGCGCGCTCCCGCGAGGTGCAGTGGTCATAACACGGCGTGAACAGTCCAACTCACTGCTTTTTGTACATTTTTGCACACATGTCTGCACAGCCGTCCACTTTAAAATATAATACACTGTAGTTTGCCATATCTACTCATTATCTGAAGTGTTTTTGATTTTCTGTTTTTTAGCTTTTAAGGTTATTTGTGTAGTTACATTTAAATTTGGTGCAAATAATTACATTACATTTAGCTGAGGCTTTTATCCAAAGCGACTTACAATAAGTGCATTCGACCAAGAAGATACAAACTAGAAGAAAACAGAATCATATAAGTACATCAGGTTTCATCGAGCCAAAACATTTCAAGTGCTACTCAACTAGCTTTAGATAAGCCAGTCCTTTGTTAGTATATAAGTGCTTTGATAGTATTTCTATCGCTCGAAGTGGAGTCGAAAGAGATGAGTTTTCAGTCTGCGCTGGAAGATGTGTAAGCTTTCTGCTGTCCTGATGTCAATGGGGAGCTCATTCCACCATGTTGGAGCCAGGATAGCAAACCCACGTGTTTTTGCTGATGGGAACTTGGGTCCCCCTCGCAGTGCGGGTGCAGCGAGCTGTTTGGCTGATGCAGAGCAGAGTGCACGTGCTGGGGTGTATGGTGTAACCATGTCCTGGATGTAGGAAGGGCCAGATCCATTCACAGCATGGTGCGCTAGTACCAGTGTCTTGAAGTGGATTCTAGCAGTTACTGGAAGCCAGTGAAGGGAGCGGAGGAGCGGCGTGGTGTGGGAACATTTAGGAAGGTTGAAGACCAGACGAGCCGCTGCATTCTGGATGAGCTGCAGAGGTCGGATGGCACATGCAGGTAGACCAGCCAGGAGGGAGTTGCAGTGGTCTAGGCGTGAGATGACGAGAGCCTGGACCAGAAGCTGCGTCTCTTTCTGGGTCAGGAGGGGACGTATCCTCCTGATGTTCTAAAGAGTGTATCTGCAGCAGCGGGTTGTAGCAGCGATGTTTGCAGTGAAGGACAGGTTGTGATCTAGGGTCACACCCAGATTCCTTGCAGTCTGATTGTCTTTATCATCCTTTTTTAATGCTAAATTGTTTATTATATTATTTGTTATGATCCTTATATATATATATATCTTTTTTTCACCTCGCAAATTCCTTGTATGTGTAAACGTCGCTGGCAATAAACTTGATTCTGATTCTGATGCAGCTGCCATCCTCCACAAAGGAGAAGCACCACACGCCTCCAGGTTGGGACTGTTATATTTTCAGTGGAATATTCCTTTAACTTCTCCTCCGAACAATGCAGCGTATATTTCATTGTTTTTGTTTGCAGCTCATGAGGCACTCGTTGAGTTTCCAGCACATTTCCCTCTCTGCTTTGACCACATTAAAAGCTGAAACTGTTGCAGCTAGGAATCAAACGCAGCTCTTGACGTTGAGATTTTAAAGAAATGCTCCATTTTGTTCCACCAAGTAAAGCTGGATATTTCCCTCCCTTTTGTTTTCTGCTTTTCTTTGAGCGCTGTGGTTTGGGAGTGAAGGAGCTGCACAGAAATCTGTATTCATGCCGTACTGTAAGCACTTTTTCCCCCATTTTATAGATATTAATTGAGCTTTCTGTACAAAATGGACGATGCATTTTCATACGTTCTTGCTGAATAGTAAAAGGTTTTAGACTGTAAATTTAAAAAGAATAATACTTCATTTTAGGGTATTTAAATCTGTGTAAGCTTATGGTATTTTTCCGTACATTTTACCTATTTTTAACAGTAAAATGTGGAGTTTTCTACATATTAAAACAGTAAAATGTGGTGTTTTCTACATATTAAAACAGTGAAATGTGGTGTTTTCTACATATTAAAACAGTGAAATGTGGTGTTTTCTACATATTAAAACAGTGAAATGTGGTGTTTTCTACATATTAAAACAGTAAAATGTGGTGTTTTCTACATATTAAAACAGTGAAATGTGGTGTTTTCTACATATTAAAACAGTCAAATGTGGTGTTTTCTACATATTAAAACAGTGAAATGTGGTGTTTTGAACATATTAAAACAGTGAAATGTGGTGTTTTGAACATATTAAAACAGTGAAATGTGGTGTTTTCTACATATTAAAACAGTGAAATGTGGTGTTTTCTACATATTAAAACAGTGAAATGTGGTGTTTTGAACATATTAAAACAGTGAAATGTGGTGTTTTCTACATATTAAAACAGTGAAATGTGGTGTTTTGAACATATTAAAACAGTGAAATGTGGTGTTTTGAACATATTAAAACAGTGAAATGTGGTGTTTTCCACATATTAAAACAGTGAAATGTGGTGTTTTCTACATATTAAAACAGTGAAATGTGGTGTTTTCCACATATTAAAACAGTGAAATGTGGTGTTTTGAACATATTAAAACAGTGAAATGTGGTGTTTTCTACATATTAAAACAGTGAAATGTGGTGTTTTGAACATATTAAAACAGTGAAATGTGGTGTTTTCTACATATTAAAACAGTGAAATGTGGTGTTTTGAACATATTAAAACAGTGAAATGTGGTGTTTTGAACATATTAAAACAGTGAAATGTGGTGTTTTCTACATATTAAAACAGTGAAATGTGGTGTTTTGAACATATTAAAACAGTGAAATGTGGTGTTTTCTACATATTAAAACAGTGAAATGTGGTGTTTTCTACATATTAAAACAGTGAAATGTGGTGTTTTGAACATATTAAAACAGTGAAATGTGGTGTTTTGAACATATTAAAACAGTGAAATGTTGTGTTTTCTACATATTAAAACAGTGAAATGTGGTGTTTTCTACATATTAAAACAGTCAAATGTGGTGTTTTGAACATATTAAAACAGTGAAATGTGGTGTTTTCTACATATTAAAACAGTCAAATGTGGTGTTTTCTACATATTAAAACAGTGAAATGTAGTGTTTTGAACATATTAAAACAGTGAAATGTGGTGTTTTCTACATATTAAAACAGTAAAATGTGGTGTTTTCTACATATTAAAACAGTGAAATGTGGTGTTTTCTACATATTAAATCAGTGAAATGTGGTGTTTTCTACATATTAAAACAGTAAAATGTGGTGTTTTCTACATATTAAAACAGTAAAATGTGGTGTTTTCTACATATTAAAACAGTGAAATGTGGTGTTTTGAACATATTAAAACAGTGAAATGTGGTGTTTTCTACATATTAAAACAGTGAAATGTGGTGTTTTCTACATATTAAAACAGTCAAATGTGGTGTTTTCTACATATTAAAACAGTCAAATGTGGTGTTTTCTACATATTAAAACAGTCAAATGTGGTGTTTTCTACATATTAAAACAGTAAAATGTAAGGTTAGGTACTTTGTCTTGGATTACGGTGATTCCCTGCATCTACTACGGTGATTTACTTTTTGGGAGTTTACGGTGTTTTACTGTTTTTGCCATTTGAATTTTTCTTACCGTAATTCTACGATTTTTCTTTACAGTGTATAAATGTGAAAACTAAGCCCAACGAGAAATGATACTTGTGTTGTATTCAATCAGAGTAATGTCTCCTCATGCACTAAATACTGTTGTAATATACTGTAAATATGTTTCTTTTGCAGACCATTGACATGCATCAACCTATAGTGAAAGGGAAAACCCCCAAAAGCAAAATAGGGCCCCTTTAATCATCTTAAATCTTTCAGTTTGTACAAATTGTATCAGTTTCTTTCTTCCTGTACGTCGTTACTCCTATTTTAATACTTTTGATTAAAACGTCTTGATTTTCCAGTTCCTGAAATATTCCAATTCAACTTTATCCATTTTCTTTCCTTCCTCCCTCGACTGCTCTTCTCTTTCTCCTTCTCCTTTTGTCTGTTCTCTCTCTTTTCAAACACTTCTCCATCTGTATTGTCGTTACTGTAAAGGCACGGACACACCAGGCCGACTATCGCCGTCGGTGGGCGTCAGGCCGACGATGGGCGTCAGGCCGACGATGAGCGTCGACACGCCCTACTCAGATTGGTGTGTCCCGCACCGTCGGGTCTTTTCAGCCGGGCCGAAAACCCAGTCGGCAAAATAAATCACTCTGATTGGCTGTTCAGCTAGCGAATCAGTGCATGAGAAGCGAAACGGAAGTGAGGGACCCAAACAAACTATTAAGAAGGCAAATCTGAGATTTAATTTAAAGTGGACCTATCATGCTATATTTGAATAATATAGTGTAGGACCAAACCTATATAAGGCATATTTATACTTTTTTTTTTTCAAAATACCAAACAGATTATGCATTTTAGCCATGCCTCATTTTGCTCAACTTGACATTTTTTAGCTCTGTTTTTGCAAGGGCAGATTCTTTGAGAACAGCACCAAGGTTCAAGGTTCAAGGTTCTTTATTGTCAATCTGACATAGCTACAGAGTAATTATGTAGTTGAAAATCTTATGTCACAGGCTTCTCCAACAATGCAACATAATAACATAATAACAATAAGAGCAAGAGCAATACAAAAAGAAAAATAGTTATAAAATAAAGTGATGATGTGGAATAGTGCAGTACCATCTACTGGCCTGGCATATGTACTACAGCG